GAAGGTTGAAATGATGTTTCCATACATTTCAAGGAAGCTTGCCATATTATCATGCACAGGTAAAATTTTAAAAAGATATGACCTCTATTACTTCTTGTACCTTTTTAACAAGTAATGATAGATAGATCATATATTAATGGCCGGTAACAATTATCATATAAAGTTAACCCCTCGATATGTAACTTAAAAAAATCTATAATAAAGTTTCTATATCTTTTGTCATTTCTGTTTCCCGTGAGCAATTACACCATCTTTTTCAAATACTATGCCGCTTTTGTTATTCTCTGCCACCCAAATAAGTTCTAACTTTGATGCTATCCGTTTTCCACTCTCAATTTGACCATGTTTGTGATTAATAATATTATACATTACAATAATGAAAGGTAGATAAATACTTGTATGATGCACCGATTAGATCATTTTATCATTATTTATAATGTCTAACTTATTCTTATCATTTTTTATCTATGAAATATCACTCAAATACATATGTTAAATTCTCCAAAAAAAAAAAAAAAAAGATATACAGTCAAACCTTGTCACAGCAGATGAACGGGACACATAAGAAAATTTAATTTAAATCCGTTATGGCGAGATTACTAATCTCGCCGCAACAAATTTTTATATATGAAGCAAAAAATTTTAAAAATCCGTTATGACAAGAATTTGATTATTATTATAATCTGCTTGACTGTATTGTAGAACTAACTATTGATATAGTTGAAGGTATGATTATGAATTTAATATTACTATTAATTATTTGGATTGATAATTAAAAAGAATGTAAAGGTAATTTTTTATAAAATTTAGAAATCACGTATACCATAAAATCTGGGAGACAGCGCCTGTGACTAATAACAATTTTTTATAAATTGCGACTGACAAACCATTAAAAAAAGACAATGTCACGGCGCTATTTTCCAGGCTTTGTAATATTTGTAATATGACAATCAGAGAGTTTTTCTGATAATGAAGTAGCGTTACAACCTGATTATTCGCTTAATTATAATAATAGGGTTAACGGCTTAATATTATAGAATTTTACAAAATTACCGCAGTAATCATAGTGATTAAAATTTCCTCGTACAGATGTATGACCACAACAAAGTTATACGAACTCAATTGTACGAAATACGGCCGTACATCGTATGTACGAATATTCTTCTCGTACAGAGGAATTGCACAATTCTGTTCTAATCCTTTTCCTATACCAATTTAAGCCCAATTTCTTACTTTAACTACAAAGTCATACCCTTACTTATATAAAGGAAATTGAACATAGAAATTTCAAGAGCAATCTAATCAAGGCAACTTCATCAACCAATCATCGAAGAAATAAACGAATAAAGATGGGAACCGCAATTAGCCGCAACTCAATTTTATATGACGCAATTAGTTGCAATTAATTGAGAAGTCATCTTTATAGACGAGTTGTTAAGAACCTGGTACAAGATCAACGTTTTTATTGATTTTTTTATTTGAAGGGACAGTTATGTGATGAATATGAATATAGTACTGCGAGTAGAACATTTGAAAGCCTGCGTCATGAATAAAATATTTTGAAGGCTTTGAAATCTTTGAAATTTGCAGGTCATGCCGTAAGTAAAATATTTGAACATCACGAGCAAAATATTTGAAGGCTTGCGCTGCAAATAAAATTATTTATCTGATAAAAATAATTTTACGAAATGATTTTAACTAAAAAAGGTTTGCTTGAATATGGCAAATGTATGTATTTTATATAGATCTTAAGAAACAATGCCCAGGTTGAAATTTAGTTCAAAAATTACGTTCGGATTTTTGTCATTTCGTAACAGCCTTACTATTCAAAGAATTTGAAAAGAGTGGATAGATCTTTATCAAAAAAGAAAATATCAGATAATAATTTGTGAATCAACGAATGGGTGCACTTAATCCCGTCATAAAAGCTACAGTTCAAAAAAATTCAATTGGTTGTAATAACATTGCCTTGATCAAAAAATATGTTAGTAAAGTGAATGAAACACGTAAAAAATATTTAATAAGGCATATATCTGCAGCTACTCAAACTCAAGCGAAACGTTTTCTTTTCTTTTGGGATGTTTATTAAATAATACCAACAGTATTATGAAGAGTTTCTCAAATTTGGCTTCATCCGATGATTGAAAAAATGATTGTAGACGAAATTGTTAACCAAGTACAGTTTAGCAAGCTTCTGGTAAAAAAAAAAAAAAAAGTGATGACAATACTCCAGATAATTGGTGTTTCTGTTAATTTTTTCTCGTCATAAGTTATGATTAAAATTCATACACAACTTATAAATAACAAACCTTTACTTCTTTTATTATATTAAAATTGTACTCGACCCACGAGATACATTTATCACATAAACATAATGTATTTTGAAACAATTATATTTTTAGTTGATGATAGGCCTTGGGCTTGGCTGGATCTGGGACCTTAAATTGGTCATGTTTTTAAACGATTGCAGTGGTCTACCTCTTTTTGTAAGATTTTAAAGATAATATGATCGACATATTACAGTCCAGATGACTCAAAATGATATTATTAACATTTGATTTTACCATTCATTGATAATTAAATGTGTGAATGGTGATTCATGTGACATAATAAATTTTTTTTGGTCACGAGTGCCATTTTAAAGAGTACTTTGCAGCAGTGTATTTCGGTGTGTAACTAATACAGAAGCATAGTGGAAGTTTGTTGCTACACGAACTGTTGTACAGAACTCATTGCTTCTGAAACTTCGCCAGTTACTTCTCTAAATTGGAGATCAAGTTCAGGTCCAATTCAAATCCGGTTTATCACTTACTTTTTTTTTATTGCCAGAATGTTTGCCGTGTATTGTAAAGCTACGTTGCACAATATAAAAAATTAGTGTAACATTTTAAATTTCCACTACGCTTAATACAGATTTTTATAAATTTATACAATGTATGACGTTACACCCGCACATTCCACCAAATTATCTTTGCTGTCTGTTTTTTTTATAACGAAAAAATATTTTTGATACCCTGCCATATTTTTTTAAGGCAATTGTTATTTTTCTTTGAATGTTTGCCATCAAAAATGACATGATATGTTAATGTGGTATAATTGATCAGTTAGCAGAATTTTTATTTTAAAATTTTTAAAAATTTTTAAGATTTATAATAATAATAAATAAAGAAAATCGGAAAAATTGATCAAGAATTCAAACCAGTTTAATTTCATATTGTTACTGAGCACTATAATAAACCAATAAAATAATTGACTCATGGAGAATATTCCAACAACAGAGAAATAAATATTCCAACATTATAAAATGTAACAGACCTTTTAATTTTCAGATTTAATTAAACAAAGGGACTTAAATGATTTGATCACTTTATAAATAACTTGAAAATAATTCTACACAGAAGGCTTAATAATACATTTAATTAGAATAATTAGGATTTCAAAGAAATCGGAGAATTAGATAACATGTATAAATAACGTTGTAATTTTCTCAACTTCATGTATCATATCTTTATAATCATCTTCGTCATCATTATTAATTATCAATTAATTTATTATCATAATAATCATCTAATAAATAACACTGTCCTTGGCCTTGTCCTTCTACTTGCCCTAGTCCTTATCCTTGTTGTTGTCTTCGAATTTATATTTTCGTAATGATAATAAATCTATCTCTAAAAACAAATCCCGTGCATAATTATTATTTTTTTATTTCTTTTCTTTTTAGTGAGTGTGTAATATTTAATAAATTTTATTTAGAGTAGTACCTGACTTGGTAGAAAATAGCTAGAAGGGTGCCCATCAAGAAACGTGATCAGGATATACAGTGTAAAATATAAAGAAGATACTGTTTAGTGTTTTTTACTATAAGGAATTATTTAATGATAGTGAAAGGTGGCTTTGAGAGTAATATACATTCGCGGAAATTGTTGTTACGATTTAATATAAATAAATTGGAAGAAATTGTATTAACATTGTTGGCATATTATTAGAAATAAATATTGAGATTCACTGTGAAGAGTGGATTTTATCACACAATATGCAGTGTCTGAAGTTGAAAAAATATATTTATTTTAGTGGATATTCTTGCGGAAAAATATTAGCGGATGATCTGCAAGTGTGAGACACACTATTATGTAGTCGTAGATCATCATATCGCGTCTCAACTCTTGAAAAAGATTGATTGATTAACTGAATAGATAATAATTAATAATAGAAGAAAGATAATTGACTTTTCAACATTTTCTTTTTAATATATAGGAAAGTCTGGCAAAGGCGATCTATAAAAAATTATTTTATTGGTGGAACGAATTTTTAATTATTTGTTTATTTATAATAATTGAATTTGGGCGTAAAAAATTTTTAATTCTACGTCTAATTTGAAAAAAATCAACAAAAAAATTGTCAGTTAATTTACTTTATATGTATTTTTAAATTTTTGGAATAAACGTGATGTCAGATGCCATTTTACACACTTTTTATTTTATTTTTTTTGTATATACAAAACTTTATTATTTATTTTGTGATTAATATAATTTACAAAAATAACAAGTCGCATAAAAATTTACACATAATTGTTGAACCTTAGAAAAAGACAATGAAAAGAAAAAGAAAATCTTAAATAAATATTGAAATTTATTATTATTGTTTATTATTATTATTATTATTATTATTTTCTAAATCTTATTTTATATAAAGCATATTCAGATTTTGACACTTTTTTTGAATTGTCCAATTTTTAAAAAAAAAAAAAATTCTATAAAATAAAAAACTTTTTATAATACAAAAATGAAGTCGAATGAATTAATATGCGTGCGTGTATATGTTATGTACAATTTTTTAATTAATATTATGATTTTTTTTTTTTTGTCCAAGACCAGAAATCTTGAAGTTCAATTTTTTCAAAATTACATTTTTCCGAAAATCTAAAATTAAATAAATAAAAATAAAATATTTAGAAAATCATAATTCTAACAATTTTATTATATATAATTAGTAATTAATTAATAATCATAGATATTTACCCAATGTTCAATGGATTCATCTTCGTTATTGTTATTGCCATTGTTAATAATAGTATCGTCATCACTAATAATATTACTAAGATTATCACTATTTTTAGCAAATACCACATCTTCGCTGATTTGTTTATTGTTGGAAATATATTTTAAAATCCAATCATCCCAAATTGAATCAGAAGAAAGTTGGTCGATTGTCAATAAATTTTCAGAATTCGATGATGTTTGACGTGAATGCCTTCTTGAATGATTTCTTGAATGATTATAAAATTTTGCTGTTACAACATTTGCAATTGATTCAATATTTTGTTTTGATTGTGATTTTAGTTGTTGTTGTTGTTGATAATTAATATTCAAGTCTTCTTTGTTATTATTATTGTTATAGTTATTGACTTTATATTCAAGATTATAAATTAATCTGTTATTAATTGAACAAACTGTTACTTGAGCAGCCGTTAAGTCTGGATTTACTGCTTCGTATGTTTCATTACTGCTGCCGCTACTATTATTTCTATTATTATTACGTGAACAAACATTTTGCTCGTACCAATGAGAATAAAATGACATTTTTTTTTATTTTAAATTTTTTTTTTTGAAAATTTTTAAAAATTTTTTTTTTTTTTTGAAATTAATATATTTTACGATTATTTTATATGTGTTTTTTTTATTTGTTATAAAATAATTCTATTAATTATATAAAAAAAATGAATTCAGGAAAATTTTTTTGAGAACTGACGAAAAATGAAATTTTTTAAAGATATTTATAAGAAATTTTAATATAGATTTTTTTATGTATGTATGTGTATCAACAGATCGATTATCAAAATCATATAATGTTTGTTGTTAAATATTTATTTATTTATTTATTTATAACTGATAAGGTATATATTTTCTAATAAAAAAAGTTCAATTACATAATATGATAGTGTATAATTAATTACAGTACAATTATAGTATATTTTTCATATAATAAAAAATTTGATTTTGATCATCAAAAAGAAATAACTTATTGTTTATTTATAGTATTAGTATTAGTATGATATGAATATGAATGTTTTATATACATGCGGAAATTTTACTTTTAAATTTCCATTTTTAGAAATAAAAATTTTTTTATATTTCAATGGATAAAAAAACGGTCCCATGCTTTACATTGTATGAATTAAATTAAAAAAAAAACGAAAAGGTAAAAAATCGAATATGCATGCAAATTAGTTAAGAAAATGTGCTATATATGTAATTTAATTATTTGACCAATTATTACTATTTTGTGATTATGAGACCGCCAATCAACAATCTATCTAACAAAGCATTCCATTCCTACTTTTCCCATACCAAGTTCTATTATATATATTCTTTATCGTTTCATCGTCAATTTAGCTTACTGATTAGTCAATCAAAATGTGCGGGCGGGAGTCGGTAAGTTATTGAAGAGGAAATAATAAAGCAAAAAAGATCAACAAATCAATTTTTTTCTCAAAAATGACTACTTATTGTAGTACATATTTATTATGATCAATAACAGCCCAGTCACATTTATTTATTTGCGTTTTTAAGCCATTGCCATTCTCATCTTTATTGAAGCATTAATAGCACAGTACATGGTAAATGTTCATCTTGAACTTTGATAACTATTTAAAAACCAACGCACGAATAATTTAAAATTGTTACGATTAATTCAATGTGTATGATTGATAATAATTTGAATATAATTACAAATTCGATTCGAATGTAATTTACGCTTTATTATTATAAATAATAATAATAATAATTAATTATCCAAATTCACGCCTTTTTCCTCTTATATTGTTGACAATTTCCTTTGATGGTAGCATGGCATTTTTTAATAATTAAGACACGTTTTCCAAAATATTAATTCTGAAATTTAAAGTAGATGCCGAAAAAAATATAAATAAAAAAAACAAATCATCATCTTCACATTCATATGCGACTGGATTTTGCCGAAATTCATTTTTTGTGATACGAAAACATTTCATAAAAAGGCATATCTACATCTAATCAAAAAATTAATAAATATTTATTTTTTATCTTAACAAAATTCTCACACTAGAAATTTGTGATTTTTCTTTATTAATGTTTTAATTCCATTTTTACTTCCCTTTTTAATTATAATTTTTCCCCCCACCCACCATATGACGTAACATTCACTTCCTTTTAAATACAAAAGAATGAACAATAACTTTTTGTGGAGGAATTAATTTATTACGAAAAAAAAAGGGAAAAAGACATCATTATCCATTGCTGTTTTGCATGTAAAATTGGTTGGCCAATAAATAATTGTGTTGATGCGATTTTTTCATATGTGATCATCTATCTTATTCAGTCACAAGAGGTATCCTTTTTTCATCAATTCATCATTTACTAATGTAAATATGTAGTATTCAATACAGACTTTTTTCATCATATTGTCGCCCATACAAAGCTTTCTAGAGATAATTCGCTTATTATTATGAAACAACAATTAATTCTTTTACCTTATCGCCGACCTTTTCCTTCAATATATCTTTATATGTATAACTTCAACAACTCTGCGAGTCTTCATTCACAGCCCCAATAAAACATCCCGACATTATCACACCTCCTAATTTCTTGTCGTTTCACAGCCACTTTTGACTTCAGTTGATAACCTCTTCACCTAGGAATTCTTCTTTACACCTTCTCTTATGAAATCAGTGTAGATAGCACGACCATAGAATTTGTTGAATTGGTTATGCTATTTTCTTATACTAGACTTTTTTACCTAATACAATATAAGATTGGATAAGATATTGTATGAATCCAACGATTTAATCCGATTGTACATTATTCGAACTATGTAAAATTTAAGAATAGGGGTGTAAGGCTGGTTATCTTTGTATCTTGAAAAAAAAAAAAAAACGGTATTACATTTTGTCAAATTTTTTTTCCGTAAGCATATCAATTAAATCAGCAATTTGAGGGGGGACAGTCAATTGCTAAGCCACTTGTACATATATAAATAAATAATTTATCATCTTACTTTTCTCTGTGCGTTTATTTACTATTTGTTAGCAACATATCACGCCAGATAGCCAGATAGTTGTCTTATATATTTGAATTTTTGGAGTATGATATGCACTCATTACATTCATATTTGTTAATGAATCGAACATGGTGAACTTTTGTTGTTGGGATCTCATGGAGGGTCACTGAAAGTATATGAATCTAGTTTCAGACTTAAAATCTGGTGTTAACCTTTGTTCAACATTACTAAGATCGTTAAAAACTCATCCAGTAGAAGAAGTTAAAGATGTGAATCTTTTTCTAGTTCCCAATAACTACAACAACATTAATAACCATTTTTCAAACGTATCTATAACCTGCCACCTTGGTGAATTTTAATGAAATTTTGTAGCATGGTTACTGGACAGATAGTAAGAATCAATATCACAATTTAATCAAATGTCTGTTCTAAAAATTTGCCACCTCGATCGTTGATTCTAATTTTGAAGAAGATATAAAACAAATGTTGATATCGTGTAAGCAACTCGAATGATTATTTTTGATTATTAGTCTTGAAAAGAAAATCGATTACCAGGTGCTATTTCAAACCCTAATTCAACAAATTTTTCAAAGTTATGTCTATTTAATCACGGATGGGATATATCTGGAAAACTTTTTGGATAAGTTAGTATATATAGGGAAAAAAAAACCACATATATGCATTGAAAGACAACATGAATTTAATTTCAATAGCATTGAAAACGATCACTCTCTTTTAAATACCATAGAAGATCTAAAAATATTGGATTTTGACATTTGAACTTATCAATGTCGGAAAAGAATTCAATGACACCATTTATTATTGCATGGTTCGATATTATATATATATATATATATATATAATAGATATTAATATAGGTTAAATAATAGAATAGAATTGCATATTAATGATAAATATAGACCATTCTTATTTTATTTGTGCATATAATTATAATTATTTAATATTAATGTTGAATTGCTTTTTTATTTTATTATTTTAAAAATTCCTAAACCAATTCCAACAATAGAATTTAATAAATCCATTGATAACGAATCACCAACTTTCAAGCATCAGCTTCATTTCTGGAATTATTTAGATTCCAACTTTGCTGTCATTAACATGCAGTGTTAATAAATTTATATGATAATGATCTTTGTTGCATTTGTTATTATGGATATTTGATATTGGTTTAGGCAAAAAATTCACCATATATTTAATCTTGATCCAAAGATGCGATAAGAATTTTGTATCCGCATGATAATAACAATATTGCAAGTTTTTGACGACATTTATCCACAATATTACAAATTTTTCTGGTCCCAGAGTATTTATTTATAAATAATTACTTGATATATCAAACTAGAAATTTAACGAGTATAAATAAACAATAGCCTCTCTCACCTTGAATAGATGATGCATGTGCTACATCAAATTATCATCATTATTATATGTTGCAATTTTGAAGATGAAGGGAAGGTGAAATAATAGCTATTGATGAGTTTGATAATAATATATATTTAATATTATGATTATTATTATTGAATATTTTGCAGTATAATTGTATTTAGTGATTTTGATAGTAGCATAATCATTATTTTTACCCTTGATATTAATTTCAAATTCAGGTTTTTTAAAAATAGTAAATAATTTGTTACCAGTTATATATAAAAAGAAAGTAAAAAATATTGTATTTTTATCTTTTGAAATGGGAAAAATAATTTGTAGATCAAAAATTTATTGATTATCTGAAAATAGTTTTACTAAACTCTTTAAAAAAAAAATGTTGATTAATTCAAAAATTTTATTTAAAAATCCACAAAAATTTTCCATGCTTTCAATATATTCAAAGCATTTTATTTATAATAATAATAATCATTGTTTGTTAAAAAGAAATTCATCAAATAGTAATGCTACTAATAGTAATAATAATAATAAGGTAAAAAATTAAACAATAATAATATGATAATATTGATGATGATAATGATAATGAATCAATTGATTTTTCTTTTTTAATTAGAGAGATTTGGATTTATCAAAATTTTCTTCTGATTTAATTAGAAATTTTAGTATTATTGCACATGTAGGTAGGAATCTGATTCTTTATTTTAAAAAAGTACCTGATTAATTATCAACTAATTAAATAATTGATTAATTACTTAGATCATGGTAAAAGTACATTAGCAGATAGGTAAACAATTAATAATAATAAAAATAATCAATTAATAAATCTTTGCTCATATATTTAAACAATATCTTCTTATATAGATTATTAGAATTAACAGGTAAAAGAAGAAACATAATATAACTAGTAGTAAAAAATCAATTTATAAATTTTATAATCAAGTATCTACTATTTACTATTTACTTTTTTTATTTATATTAGAAACAATATCTATTAACAATTCTAAGCAACAGGTTTTAGATAAACTTTCAGTGGAAAGAGAAAGAGGAATCACCGTCAAAGCACAAGTAATAAATATTCTAATGATAATAATATTAATCTTTTTACAAATAATTAATTAATAAATTAATAATCAATTAATTAGTCATGTTCAATGTTTTATAAATACAAGAATAAAGAATACCTACTTAATTTAATTGACACACCTGTAAGTTACCATGGTTATTATTATCACTATTATCATCATCACCACTATCATTAATCATGATAATGTTAATATGTTAATATTAATACTATTAATTTTTAGGGACATGTAGATTTTAATTATGAAGTGTCAAGATCTCTTGCAGCATGCCAAGGAACCATACTTTTAATTGATGCCACACAAGGAATACAAGCTCAAACTGTTGCAAATTTTTACTTGGCTTTTGATCAAGGATTGACAATAATACCTGTTATTAATAAAGTAATAATAATAATAATAATAATAATAATTTCATTTATCTAATATATTGTTACTTTTAAAATATTATTAATAATATTTTTGTTGCTATTATCAATTTTAAATATATATTTTTAAAGATTGATCTTCAAGCAGCAAATGTTGATAGAGTTATCAAACAAATTAATAGCACATTCAAATTAAACACTTCAGAGATTTTATTGGTAATAAATATTCATTATTAGATTTTAGATTAGATTAGATTTTTTATTTATATTTATATTTATATTTATATTTATATTTATATTTATATTTATATTTATATTTATATTTACATTTATATTTATATTTATATTTATATTTATGATTAATTTCTAGACTTCTGCAAAATCGGGATTAAATGTTGATAAACTATTGCCAAAAGTAATTGAACAAGTACCACAGTATGATTTATAATAATAATAACAATAACATAATAATAATAATAGTAGTAATAGCAAAAATGAGAAAAAGTAATTGCAATGTTTCTTATTAATAATAAATCAATATCTTTATTTTTGAATGAATGAATATCTTAGACCAAGTGGTGATATAAATAAGCCATTGAAAGCATTTTTATTTGATTCATGGTATGATACTTATGTTGGAGTTATTTCTCTCATGTCGATTGTTGATGGAAGGTTACAAAAAGGTTTTTATTTTATTTTCAAAAAATCATTTTAAAGAAAAAGTTGATTTGATAAAATATTTTTAAAACATCGATTTTTTTTTTCAATAGGTGATAGAATAGTTTCAGCTTATTCAAATAATAAATATGAAGTTTTGGATATTGGAATCATGTATCCTGAACAAGTTTCCACTGATTATTTGTATGTTTAATAACAATATTATTATATTATAATATTAATAATTAGAATATATAACTTAAAAATCCATTTATATAAAGGCATTCTGGACAGGTTGGATATGTTATATGTGGTATGAAGGCTGCTAGTGAAGCTCACATTGGTGATACATTTTATCATGATAAAATTCCTGTAGATCCATTGCCTGGATTTGAACCTGCAAAACCAATGGTAATGAAATTTATGCTCATTAATATTGTATTATATATAAATAAATGTATTCATGTTATTTTTAAAAGGTTTTTGCAGGTATATTTCCTGTAGATACTAATGAATTCAATAAATTAGACGAGTCTATAACAAAATTGACTATTAATGATGCGAGCGTTTCTATTCAAAAAGAAACAAGGTAAACAAAGCAACCGGAAAAGAAAAATCCAAAGTGTCATAATTGATAAATTCATTTATATTTTTTTAATTTAAAGACTATTCGTTTATTTATCCGTTTGCGAACTTGTAGTATGGCTTTAGGACAAGGCTGGAGAATAGGATTTTTGGGTACATTACACATGGATGTATTTAGACAAAGACTAGAAGAAGTAAGGAAAGCACAACGGCAACGTTGAATAATAATGATTCAATGACTTTTATTTTATGTTTATTGGAAAAAGAAATTCTATTCATAGGAATATGGTGCAAATATAATAATAACCCAACCAACTGTACCTTTTAAAGGTAAATTTTTGTTTAATTTTTTAATCAACCGTTAAAAAAATTTCTTTTCTAAAATTATTATTGTTAAATAGTTGTTTATAAAGATGGGAAAGAGAGTTTTGTTCAGAATCCAACGGAATTTCCTGATTCTGTAGATTTACAATATAAGATTTTAGAATTTCAAGAGCCAATGGTTTTAGCAACAATTATATTACCAGAAGTATTTATTATTTTCTGGTTTATTTAATACAAATTTCTAATTTATCTTCTTTACCTTTGAAGTGTTTCTAATCCATATTATTATTTTATTTTATTAATTTATCTATTTATCAATCTAAAAAAAAAAGGAATATATGGGTTCTGTGATGGATCTTTGCGGTGTTTGTATAAATAATAATAATAATTTTTTATTTTAATTTGAAAAATGCATGATAATAACACTTTTATATTTTGGTGTGTAGACAAAAAGAGGTGAACAACAAGAATATAATTATCTTGATGAGTCCCGTGTGATGATGAAATATGAAATTCCACTTGCAGAAATTGTAATAGATTTTCATGATGAATTGAAATCAAGATCAAGTGGTTATGCAAGGTAATAAATAACGCTTAAAAAAAAAACAGTCTTATCTATTGAATCTGATTATTTATTTAAAATATTTCTATTTCTATAGTTTTGATTATGAAGATATGGGATATCAGAAATCCGATATTGTTAAGGTTATAATGATTTATTAAATAAATAATTTATTTATTAAATTATCAAGTTATTAAAATTATCAAAATTATTAAAGATGGATGTCTTGCTTAATAAAAAACCGGTGGATGCATTAGCAGCAATTATGCATAGATCGCAAGTTAATCGTGTTGGTAAAGAATGGACAAAAAAATTGGCCGATGTTATACCAAAGTATTAATACTACTATTATTATTTATTTGCTATTATTATATATTTATTGTTATATTTTTCTGGATAAATTTAGGCAATTGTATGAAGTGATTATACAGACGGCCATTGGAGGGAAAGTTATTTCAAGAGAAACGTAAATTATTAAAATTTTTTTTTGTTAATAGCAATCTATAATACATATTTACATTTTTTTTATGTATTTATATTTAGAATTTCTGCATTAAGAAAGAACGTTACTGCTAAATGCGTAAGCTGATAATTTATTTTTGTTGCTAAAACCAATATCATTAATCTTATTAAATCAATATTATTTTCTTTTTCAAGTATGGTGGAGATGTTACAAGGAAAATGAAATTAATTGAAAAGCAAAAAGAAGGCAAAAAGAGGATGAAAATGGTTGGTGAGTAAATTTTTATTTTAACTAGCTACTGCGATCATTATTATTATTATTATTATTAGTAACGACATTCATTATTATTATTTAGGGAATATTGAGTTACCTCAAAGTGCATTTTATGATTTTTTATCTAAAGGTCAAAAGTCAACATCAAAATCAAAAAAATAAATGCAACAACTATGGAGTTAATCCAATAAAATTTTATTTATTTTAAATATATATAAATAAAGTTTTTTATTTTTTTGAATTAAAATTTTTAATACCAAAGATTTAAATAAACCTAATTAAATAATTTTTTTTAGATTTTTAATTACCACTTTTTCTTTAATATAAACTACCAATACCGTAACCAGTAGATGTACCATAACCTTTATAACCATCATGACCACCAACATAAGGAATACCACCAAAAAATTTATTATTATTATTATCATATAATCCGTTTCTGTATGATCCAGAAGTATCATATAAAACACCACCGTACAATCCACCGACCGGAATACCACTGCCAATGAATCGTTTCTTTAAATTGATGATGCTATCACTACTACCTCTCTTGATGTAGGGAGGAGTAAAGGCACCATAACCTAAATATGATAAACCGAGTGGCTGGAATCCAGCAGTTAATGGTATAGTTGCAGCAGAGGCAATAATTGGAGCTGTCGCTGCTGTTGCTACAAGAGGTGCTATTTTGGTTGTTGCTGCAATGGGTGCTGCAACAGCTTCTGTTAAAGGTGCAGCAACAAACCGTCTATTTGCTTCAGTGTTGTTAATAACGTTGTTTGGCGATGATGGTAAATTATCAGGTTCCGCCTCGCGTTTATTATTGTCATTATTATCACCATTATTATCGGCATAGATGTCAAGTGCTGGTTCGCGTTTTTCAGTTGTTTCAATTACTGCTTTTGTTACTAAATGTTCATGTCGTTTATCAATTAGACCGCTATTTTCACCTCTAATAATCGACTTTGCGTCGTCGTCGTCAATTGGAATTGCATTACTGATTTTAATAATAAATGGGATTAAAACCGAAGAAACAAGTACAACGTATAAATTGAATTTTGCCATTTTTTTTTTAATGGAGTAATGTTATTTATTTTATTATTTATAAGAGGAATGAAATTTTATTTTTTTCTAATCTCCTTGACAATTTTATAGTAATCGAAAAACGTAAAGGCATTGATTAAATTATCTTATGGCATTGTTACATTTCTTATTCCAATTGATTAAAGCATCAAGTAAATAAAAGATTTATTGATTTAAAAAAAAAAAATCCTAAGAATATTATTTAAATCATGCAATCTTAAAAAAACCGCATTAATCATGAATTAATTAACGGTGAATAGTTGCTCATATGGAAGGCTTTTCAATAGAACCTTTAAAGAAAAGCGCGTTTCGGACATTTTTTCTGAAGTCAATATAAAAAATAACAATAAAATTGAAAATAAAATCAGTGCACAGAACTTATAATAATTTTTAATCAATAGTAAATGACGCATCTTATAGAGAAATTCATAAAGCTACATTTTTATCGTTAGTAACCGAAACAATAAATTTTCAGGAAATGAAAAAGAATACTGTAAAAAATTATATATCTATGATTTTGAGAATGCAACAAGTACAAATTAACAAAATGAAAACTGCATTTACAGGAACTTTTTGATACGTGAACATTCTTATTGATAATTTTATTAAAGATATCAAATACTCTCATCTCTTCCAACGCAGATTATGGAATGGATTCCATTTGGTCAATTTGAAGAAGTGGAGTATTTAACTAAAAGAGGTTTTGATAACATTTTATACTGTTACATAATAAATTTGATGATGAAATAAAAAGAATTTATTTACTATTGAAATTCAAATATGATAAGAAAAATCTTTGATGAGGTCAATAATAAATTATTTTAATTATATTAGACATCACATTAATTGATTTTTTATACAACTTTAGGCATTAAATTATTCTAAAATTAAATCAGGAATGATCAATCAATGTTATAGCATAACTAAATTTCGGAGAATAACTATGCAATGGTTTAAATTATATTCCAGAAGAAGTTTAAAAGGTTATTTGCAAAAAGTCATTCAAATAATTTTTATGTGACTCATTAGATGATAAATATGTTAGTAGAAAATAATACTTGTTATATTACATATTCGGGATTTTGATCAAACAAAATATGTGGGATCACATCATATATTGCACCTGAGTTCTTCGAAAAAGAAGTAAAAAATACAAAAGAAGTCAGATGGGAGATATTTTCAGGTTGTCCACCATTTAGTGACAAAGCACATGATCATTATTTAATTATAAACACTTGTAAAAATTTATGATCATCAATTTTATCAAATATTCCAAAAGAATATGTGGAAACGGTGAAAAATGTTGGGTGGATGAAATTTTGATTAGCTAATTTGAATTTCAAATAAGTGAATTGCAAAATCACTAAGAAAAAACGGACTTGTTCAAAATTACTAACTTGCAATTTTGATCCAATTGCAACCATGATCATTTCAAAGCTAATTGGTCAAAATTAGGTTTAGTCAAGTTGGCATACTAATACATGGCTAGATAACATATTTTTTGACACCCATCATATCAGACAAAAATCAATGTTGTATGTAATACAAAAAAATAAAAATAAAAATGCACAAATCTTTATAACCTTTACTAGTTTGCTATCATCATATTATATATTATAAAGGATTGTAGTTATTTTTGATACACTTTATTGATAAAAATTAGATTTACATCAAACTTCATGAAACATAAAATATATTTTGATTTTATGAATTTGTTCAACGTAAAATTATTCATTTGATTTTGCTTGGTAGTCCTGACCTTGGAGGCTGTATCATCGATCAAATGCATGTTTAAAAAATGAAATTCATGCCCTATTCAAAATGATCAAGTCAATCATAGTTTTTGAATGAAAAAGTATAAAGACGTTTATAAACGCTTACCATACACCAAAACAGCAAATGATTGCAATTTCGAGGTGTTCTCATCAGATTGGTATGCATACTGATACCAAAGAGATATTGTCATTGCTACAATTAAGAGAAATAGAACTAGTTAGATGCCATGTTTAACCAAATGACTTGAATTACCGATATATATACCTTTTAATAATTTCTCTAAATTATCATTTTGTTGGATATTATGGTGGCAAACACATTTTCTACTACTTTGATAAATCTAACATCATGTTTATCTCCAAGTCTCTCTCTTGTTTGATGAAATTGCCTTGTCATTTTCATGAATCATTTTCAATTTCTCAACCAGTTTATTGTCAATTAGAAATTAGATTCGCAAATTTAGGAATGTTAACTTTCAAAGAGGAACAACTTATGTTTTTATCACAGGGCATCTTTAACATTGTAAAAAATTGTTTATTGATATTCACTATTATCTAGCAAAGCACTATGCTTATACAACAGTTGGAGGGCTCTGGTATAAGTTATTTCATGTATAGAATTTCTGACACCAGAACAATTCATATATTTATGACATTACGACATTACAGCACATCAAAAGTCATATTAGTTTGGACTGCATGCATAGTAATTAATGTATTATTTAATGACTTATTCACAAATCATGTAATTTTTCAATTATAACTGCAATCCCATAATTATCATAATATCTAAAATCATATTAATATTATTTACTATTGCAGTTGTTTCGATCACGAATTAAAAACAAAAAATGGCCAATCACATATTATAATTCATAAAAAAATAATACCCCGAAATTATATATTTTAACTAGTGATAATTTATTAAGCTAAACATATTCAATAAATTAAATCTGGTTATATGCATATTATCAGTAAAGATTTATAAATAAAGTAATTAATAGCAATTATTGTATTATTATGATTATTTTTTATCAATTATTTGAAAAACTTCCAATTCATTAAATCTACTACCATCTACCACATTGATGCTATTATAAATTTGTGAGTTATGAATTTTAATACTACCATCTACCATAAAAAAACAATCACAAGGATGACGACCAAAAACTGGTAAATAAGAAGGACTACACCAAATTGCATACTCATAATTATTAATAACATAACTAAGTTGTGCAGTATTGATATCATTTCTATTATTAATATTAAAAATAAAACTTTCAGTTGTATTTTTATGACCATATCCATTCCAATCAAGTGGATTATAACCACCAACTATTTGGTCTGAATTTTGTATTTTGCCAACTAAAAGAGTTTTGTTGATATTACCACAATTTTGATGAAATATAGCTGCATTTAAACCATCTCTGCTACTACGATACAGAAGTTTGAACTCATATTTGACTTCCTTGAATGAGGTATATGGTGGATTTTTTCTATCAATCCAACTTGCAAAAAGCAAAATAAGGTTTTGATTAATTGTCAATGATTCAAGTGTTGGTTTCAAATTTGAAATCCTTGATGGTAATAAATTTTGTTGACTATCAGGATATAAATAAGATTGTAAAAGGTTGTTCCATAAAGTTCTAGGAAAAAGTATGTCGTATGGTGCAATTTTATTAAAAAAGTTATCTTTAGAAATACCCTGAAATCTTATTAGAGGAAAAAATTCTTTTAATGTGTTGCCTAAATCAACAAAATTTTGTATTGACCAATCTTCAACATTGGTATTAATGATTTTTGGATGTTTGGCCAATCCCCATTTAAGAATGTTTTCCCAAATAACTATCTTATCAACAGAAAAATCATCTCTTTTAAGAATTTCCAATAGAATTGATTTTTCCAATGATTTAAATTCATTTGATTCAAATAATTTTTCACTATATTCACAAAACTTTTCCAAATAGATGTTTTTCAATTCATTAAAATTTTCGTTAGAATAAATCAATTGTAGAATTTTAACTGGATTTTCTTTTATATAATTGTCATAATTTTCAATAAAATATTTCATCACATATTCGTAAAGCAACTCAATACCAAATTCATCTGCTGCAGTTAATAGTTCCAATACTTCAGCACCAGAATAATTTTCAAATTCAATTTTACATGTATATAAAAACCTTACAAAATAAATAAATTATTAAACAAGTTATTATTATTATAATTTAATACAATAATAAATTTATTTAAACTTACTTGAGAATAGGTTTGAAAATTTTTTCATTGATATTAGCTTTTTTAATAATATAATATCCATTTTCTTTTGTTGCATTACTTAATGCATTGTTAAAAAATGGACAATGAGCTGATATGATAGATGCATGTGCATGAACTTCTTTAATGTTTGGTTCTACACCAATACATATTTTTACATCATAAAAATTTTCAGTATTTAGCAACCTCTCATTTTCATTAAAATATTTTTCAAATAATGAATTCATTTTTTTTTTTTTTTTTTTTCAAATGAATGGCCAATCACATGTTAATAAATGGTGATGATCATTATAAATTACCCAATGTGCCATTTTATATACATATATATTAATATTATTTTGAAAAAAATAAAAAAATAAAAGATTATTAAATACACCTCTAGATTAATATTAAGGTTTCTGGCCGAAACTGCTTCTATTAGTAGCCGAAATTGCCCAAATACTTTGGGCAAAAATTATTTTTTTATAAGCCAAACTACTTTTTGTTATTAGCCGAAATTGGGCGAAATTATTTTAAAGTTGTTTAAGTTAAACAAGTTGATTCATATAGTTTTTTAATGTTAATCTTATAAAAAATGTTGAGATGCCCAAACTAGTTTGGGCTTTGAGCCAACAGTTTGAACCAGAAACTCTAGATTAACCAATTTAATTTGCAACTAGATATCAAAACTGAAGGTTAAGTTTTGACAAATCGAGGATACATTTATCCACCACATTCTCTATCCTATTATCAGACCGCATTTTCCAGATGTGATTGGAATATAAATCGGTAGGCTTTTAAGGGAGGGGTGTTAGTTTTTTCTGCACGGCAACTTAATTAATGGTTTGTTAAATACAATGTCATCTGCAAGTGCTTTGAGAAAAATAGCATAGACACAAACCAAATTTCAAAATCACATCAAGATTGATAATGATATTGATTTTGTGATTGTCTTTAGACATTCAAATCAAAGCAAAATTCCTCATTGGTTAATGTCGACCTTGTAGACCTTGTAGTAGCAATGAAAAAGTCACTCAACCACATCATGCATTATGAACTAGTATCAGAATTATTTTGCTTGGTACAGCTTGATTTACACATTTCAAACTGCAGTTTGAATTTAATTATTTTGTTTCAACAAATTTTTGATTTGGCCCATTTAATATTAAATTGTGTTTTAAATAAGTACAGTCAAAACTCTCTATAACGAACCCCCCTGGACCGAGAATTTTGGTGAGCGTTCACTATAAAGAATTGTCGATCATCTCATTTATGATCACGTGAGAATATTATGAATCATCAAGTTTCGCATTCATTCATAAAATAAAAACAATCCTTTTTGAAAATAAAATAGAAAAATTAAATTTTATTCATATAATTATCAATTTTTAATTGTTCTTTTGAATTAAATATATTTTGACTTTCCTTTTATTAATCTCAATTCATTATCAGTTAATTGTGACTTGTCTGTTTGTTGTTCAAAGTATAATTTTGATTTTTTCTATCGACAACAAAGCATTTTTATGTAATACAGGTGAAGTAGAAAGAATTATTTCAGGCATATTATTATTAGGAAAAAATGTTGAAACAATTCTTCATTTTATTTGACAAAAGTGATGTGTATGTGTAGATAATCAATTAGCAAACATATAATTTGTTGGCCAGTCTTGTCTCTGTCAATAATAACAACAATAACGAATAATAATAGTAAAAAGAAGAAGAATAAATTTTTTAAAATTTTTTTTTCGATAATAAACAAGTTTATGTTGCACAGGTTCGTTATAGAGAGCATTATTTATTATATAAATTTGTATTTGGTTCCCCCAAAGACAGTTCGTTATGCGGAATAAAGAATTTAACTATAAAGTTCGTTATATAGAGCAAATTTCATTAATAAAAAATCGGGACCAATATCTTAGTTCGTTATAGAGAGCAGTTCGCTTCTCGGAGGTTTGTTATAGGGAGCTTTGACTGTAGTAGCACTATTTGCATTGCAACGGAGCAACAAATTAAATACATAGTACTGTAAATAAAGGTTCTATAAATAAAGGACGAAAAAATTTTTTGAAAATCATTAATGCTACAAAAATCAATTAAAACTATTAATTAAAAAATAAATTCCACCAATTCCACATAATTAAAATTATTATTCTTCCAATTCTACACGATTAATAATCTCTTTGTCAAAAAGTCTCAGCCATCGCTGCTGCTGCTACCTTTTTCTTCCAAAAAAATGTGTATATGTTATATTACTACTAACGAAAATGTGAATTGGTTTATTAAAACAAATCAGGCCCCAACCAGAAAATATAGATTTAGCACAAAGATATGAGCGTATAGTGAATGAGGTTGATGACAAAGTTAATGAAAGGCCAACTGATGAAGATATTCTTATTCTTTTGTACTAATTGAAGAGGAAGGTGCGGTTTAACTATATCTAATATTTCAATAAATGAATCTATATAGAGGCTTTTGAAACTGTATTTAATTTCTTTAACAAAATAATTTACAATGGATTATAATAAATTGAAAGCCATAAACTCATTGAAAAAAAAGCAAAAACTTATAGCATTAAACATTCAAACCAAATAAATATCATATCACCAGCTTTTCAACAAATAATTTTTTTGCCTATTAATTGTAGTGAGTAGGGCTGGAAATAGGATCTGAATAAATAATGGAAATTTTCTCCTGAATGCTAAAGAATTTCTAATACAAAGGAAAAATATCCAACAACTCTTTTTTTCAAAAGTTAAGAATTTCTGATTGGCTAATTTTAATTCCACGCGTACATGTTTGAAATTCAAATTTCAAAAAACGGACTCAAAAAAAACTTTTTAAAACTTACCCTATAAAATCTTATTTAGAATCATGCTCTCCAGAGGCTCTGAAACCTTTCATATTAACACTCAAGCCTCTTCTGGGATGAAAACTTCTTATGGCAGAAGCAAGCATTGTGACTCTTCAAAGAAAACTGTTAAAGAAAGTGCAGTTTCGAGTTGATACAAGAAATGATTCTTAGGCAGTAGATAGGATCGTTGCAGGCAACTTTTCGGCTAGCATTCCAGCAGCCTTCTCTGGTCTGGTATGCAGTCTCGGTAAACTCCAGGGCAAAGCGACCCACTGGTATTCGGTTGCATCACC